AGACAGGCGGGCGAGTTGAGAGTGGTGGTGGGTCCGCAGTCCCAGAGCTGACCCCACTTCCTACCCTCAGGAGTCGGAGTACGTGTCCTCCCACTTGCACGAGTGGATTGACCTCATCTTCGGCTACAAGCAGCGGGGTCCCGCCGCTGAGGAGGCCCTCAACGTCTTCTATTACTGCACCTATGAAGGTGGCGGGGTGATGCACGTGAGCTGGGCCAGGCACAGGCGAAGTAGCAATGTAGAGAACCGCAGAGGAGTTCTGACTGCTTTACTTCCCTCTCAGGGGCCGTAGACCTGGACCATGTGGCGGATGAACGGGAACGGAAGGCTCTGGAAGGCATCATCAGCAACTTTGGGCAGACTCCTTGTCAGCTGCTCAAGGTAAGAGCTGCTTGGAATATAGTAGTCAAGAATATATCAGCCGGGTGGTGGTGGCACAGGCCTTTAATCCCAGCACTCAGGAGGCAGAGGCAGGCGGATCTCTGTGAGTTTGAGGCCAGCCTGGTCTACAGAGCGAGATCCAGGACAGCCAGAGTGGTTACACAGAGAAACCCTGTCTCGAAGAAACAAAAAAACAAGCGAAAAAAGAACACTCATGTCCTGGTGCTGACTAGCTCTTGTCTACAGGAACCACATCCACCCCGGCTCTCAGCTGAGGATGTGGCCAATCGTCTCGCTCGTCTGGACACTAACTCACCTAGCATCTTCCAGAACCTGGACCAGCTCAAGGCCTTTTTTGCTGAGGTGAAAAGAGGGCAGGAACTTAGCTCCTTCTGTGAGATGGGCTTATCTGCACTTACCACTCTGGGGCCCGATGGGAATTCTAAATGACGGTGACTGATTTAAAGGCAGCTGGTAGACACAGAGGAGAAGGGAGGAGGGCTTTCTTGAGGAGGGCCAGGGCAAGTGTGACTTCCCGAACAGTCTCTGAGGACCTGAGTGGGTCGGGATGGAGGGACTCTAGCCGTGGACCCTCCTGCGTCTTCACATAGCCTCCCCTTGCCCTCCCGTTACTGGGCTGAGGCCAAGGGGGAATGCGATGAGAGGCTCAAGGCGGAGGTCAAGCTCGATCCCGGGTCCTCTGCCTTTCTGTGATACCCTCCTGCATACGCCCTGCTGGCAGGTGTGCTTCTCCATATGACGCCCACTCTGTGCCCCTGGGGGTCAAGGGCGAAGAAAAGAGGGTACCCACTGGGGCTGGAGAGATGGCTCAGCAGTTAAGAGCACTGGCTGTTCTTCCAGAGGACCCGGGTTCAATTCCCAGCACCCACGTGGCAGCTCACAACTGTCTGTAACTCCAGTTCTAGGGTACTAAAACACCAAAGTACATAAAATAAATAAATTGTTTAAAAAATTAAAAAACAAAAAGAGGGTACCCATTGAGAAGACTTGTGTAGTTGGGGCTCCTGCTGCCCTGAGCTCACCACAGCCAGCCCTCCACATTTCCCTGCAGGTTGTCAATGAAGGCATACCTCTGGTGTTAGCTCTGGTACCCCACCGGCAATCCCACTCCTTCATCACCCAGGGCTCCTCAGACCTGTTGGTAAGTGCGCTGGGCAGGGTGCCCCTCAGCTCATCCCTCCTGCCTTTGCCTCCACACCACCTTAGCACACTCTTACCTACAGGTGACTGTGAGTGCCAGTGGGCTGCTGGGCACCCACAGCTGGTTGCCCTATGACCGAAACATCAATAACTACTTTACCTTCAGCAAAGATTCCAGCATGGGAAACCCCAAGTAAGACAGCTGTGGGTAGGGGTAGGCTATAAATGCCCTATGCCTTTATAGAATGCAGGCCAACTGCAGGGGAGAGGTCTGGCCAGGCTCCCTGTCAGCCTAGACCTCTCCCCCGTGGCCCAGCCTCACCTACCATCTTCCCATTGGCTTAGGATGCAAAAACTACTGAGTGGACCATGGGTGCCAGGCAGTGGCCTGAGCGGGCAAGCATTGGCAGTGGCCCCTGACGGAAAGCTGCTCTTCAGTGGCGGTCACTGGGATGGCAGCCTGCGTGTAACTGGACTACCCCGTGGCAAACTGTTGAACCAGCTAAGCCGACACCTCGGTACGAGCAGCCCTAGTGCCAGGGAGAATGAGGCAGGCAGATGTGGAAGGGGGTTCTGAATGGGACCTGGGAGGGTCCACTGACCCCTGTCTGTCCTCTCCTTCCTATGCAGATGTAGTGACCTGCCTCGCACTGGACACCTGTGGCATCTACCTCATCTCAGGCTCCCGGGACACCACGTGCATGGTGTGGCGGCTTCTGCAGCAGGTGTGCATGGTGGACAGACCTGTGAGGTTCCTGTAGCCCAGAGCAGAAGTCCATCCGCCCCTCAGGGAGCCTTCAGGGCTGTTCTCCTGTCACTCCTTCCCCTTACTGCCATGAGCAGATCTGGGGCTCTATTACCCTCCAACCCGCTGCCTGGGATAAAGTCATACCTGCCTGAGTCTTAAGCTAGCCCTGCCTTCCCACAGGGTGGTCTGTCCGTAGGGCTGGCATCAAAGCCTGTACAGGTTTTATACGGACATGAGGCTGCGGTGAGCTGTGTGGCCATCAGCACTGAACTTGACATGGCTGTGTCTGGATCTGAGGTGTGTCCGTGTACCCTGGGGAGGCTGTTGGCTGAGTCACTGTCCCTGAGCCTTCAGATCTCTGCTCAGCATCCTAATCTGCCTTCTATAGGATGGAACTGTGATCATACACACTGTACGTCGAGGTCAGTTTGTGGCAGCATTAAGGCCTCCAGGTGCCACACTGCCTGGACCTATTTCACATCTGGCACTGGGGTCTGAAGGCCAGATTGTTGTACAGAGCTCTGCTTGTGAACGTCCTGGGGCCCAGGTATGGGGATAGGGTACCCAACAAAGACATCAGGGCAGCCGGGTGGTGGTGGCACAGCCTTTAATCCCATCACTTGGGAGGCAGAGCCAGGTGGATCTCTGTGAGTTCAAGGCCAGCCTGGTCTACAGAGCAAGCTCCAGGACAGGCACCAAAACTACGCAGAGAAACCCTGTCTCGAAAAACAAAAAACAAAACAAAAAAGGCATCAGGGCAGTTGGAATGGTGGGGCAGCTACTGATGGTCCCATTTCTTCCAGGTCACCTACTCCTTGCACCTGTACTCAGTGAATGGGAGGTTGCGGGCTTCATTGCCCCTGACAGAGCAGCCTACGGCCCTGACGGTGGCAGGAGACTTCGTCCTGCTGGGCACCATTCAGTGCTCTCTACACATCCTCCATTTGAACAAGTGAGCCCACTTTGAGTTGATGGCCCCTCTTGGTGGGAGTTGTTGGCACAGGGTAATCAGGAGTGCACGCTATCCAGTAGCACGTTCTTCTAGGTGTGTTACCCATGGGGATTCTTGCCATGGACCTCCCTCAGCTACACAGTTGTGCGAGTCTTATGAATCAGGGATTCAGTTTAGCCAGCCTTCAAATGAGGCCAAAGTAGATACACGGGATAATGGAGACATCCGGTAGCCGTGCCGTGTTGAAGGACTCCTTGCAGCTGTGACTTAATGTATGTCCACTCCCCTGCTATAGATTGCGGCCTGCTGTGCCTCCCCTGCCCATGAAAGTGCCAGTGCGCAGTGTGTCTGTGACCAAGGAGCGTAGCCACGTGCTGGTGGGCCTGGAGGATGGCAAACTGATCGTTGTGGGCGCTGGGCAGCCTTCTGAGGTGAGGACAAGAGCAGGCGGACCGGGCATCGAATCAAATCGGGTGGGAGCAGCTGCTCAGGCTCGTCCATCCCATCCCATCCCTTCTTTCCGTAGGTGCGCAGCAGCCAGTTCGCGCGGAAGCTGTGGCGCTCCTCGAGGCGCATCTCCCAGGTGTCCTCTGGGGAGACGGAGTACAATCCTGGCGAGGCTCGCTGAACCTGGTGTCTAGGTGCTCAGATCCCGCCCGAGCGAGATGCCCTGCCCACGAGACTGCTGCACCAGGGGGTGGGCGGGGCCCACCGTCCAGCTCAGGGATTGGTAGATGGCATCACCAGGAAGTCCCGCCCCTCGCCGGCTGAGGGGAGACCTAGCGCCGGCCTCTGAGGCCGCAGCTGCATATTTTGCACAATCTGGGGTGGGGTGGGGTGGGGTGGGGGGGAATTCCTACTTTCAAATCCCACGTTACAGTGAAGCACAAAGACCACCCGTGGCCTTAACCCCTACCCGTGACTCGCTGCCCATCCCCAGCAATAAACTTGGCCTAGTTTTGTAGCTGCTTGGTTTCTTGAGTATACATGTGCCAGCCTTCCCGGCCTTCTGTGGCCACCATTCGTAGTCCCGTCACCCGGTCTGGCCTGGCATGTCATTCTTCCTGGGCAGGCTGGCCTCCGTGTAGCCAGCCGACCCACCTCTGTCCTTGCCAGCCTTCCTGGCTGCTGGATCTCGGCTCTCATGGTCCATCGCGTGCCTTTTGCATGCCATTTGCGCACTCTGCCAGCCAGGTTGGTGTCAGCTTCTGTGCGCTCTGAGAGCTTCGGCATGCTCCAGCGTGGGGCGGGGGCGAGACCGCACCCTCGAGCTCAGCCCCGCCTCTTCATTGTCCTGCTCCCCTCTCCAACACCACCCCCCCCCCCATTGGCCCGCCCCTAGCCTTGGCTCACTCTTTCTTGGGCAGACCGGAACCTGCCCTCTCCAGGGACTCCCGCCGTCTTCCTGGCTGAGTGGATCCTGGCACCCTTGGAGGGGTGGCTGCCGAAGGTCAGGAGGGGTGGGAGTGCCGAGTCGGGTTCTTGCTAGGTAGAAGGGGTCAGAACCTTCTCTGTCTCCCACCTCGAGTGCCCTGATCCTACGGGTACCAGCGTCTGTGTTGGGGTGTGTATAGGCCTGCGGGGGATGTTGAATTGTTTCTTCAAATTTTGGGCTTGGAGATGGGTGGGGAGGCCGGGAGACGTTCCAGCAGCTCAGGATAGGTGGGGCAGATTCCAAGGCCTGTCTGCTGCTACTGGTTTACGGGCCCACCCACCAACTAGGATACCGGAAGCCCCCCACTCGCAATATGGTAAGTGACACAGAGCTATACAGTCCATAAAGGGGCCACCCATCTCCGAGGCTTACCTGGCTACAGCACTGGACTGCTGATAGCCATCATGTGGTAGACCCTTTGGTTATGCAGCAGTAACTGTTGGGGACTTGGGGGGCCTTTCTGAGTCTCTGCCTTCTTCAGGGGAGCTCCCTCCTCCTTCCAGATCTGGAGCCTCTTCGCAGCCTGCAGAAAGTGGGTCTCAGCAGATTTAGTACTGTAGGGTCCAGATGGGCCCTTAGACTGAGTGGCCCTGTTCTTCCATTTCAGGCCCTCTCTGAATTCCCAAATGAGAAAAGACTAACGTTAGGGCCCTGGATCTCCATGCCCTGTGACCTTGCTGAGCCCATTAAGGTATTCTTTCACTCAGCTCCTGACCAGGAAAGGGCTGGACACTGGCCCTGGAGTCAAGAGTGGGGGCTAGTCAGTCCAGGAGGTCCTGTCTTGGGACCTTGGGATGTTGGGTTTTGGCAGCTGTGTATGAACATGAGCCTTTCACTGGTTCCTAGGGATGCTTCAGCCTGAGATAGGATCACAGTGCATATATCTTTACTCTTTTATCATCCCTGGATTCAGCCCAGGTGTTCGCCAAGGTCTTTGAGATAGGGTGATTTCTATCCTGAGCTGTACCCCCAACCCACCAGCTTTGGCTATTGGGGCCTGGTTAGTCACCTCCACCTACTTGCCATGGGGAAACCGTTCCTGCCCTGGCGAGAATCAGGATGGAGTGAGCTGGTAATGGGGACAGGCTGCCCCAGGGACTTGCGACAGCAGGTCTGAGGATCTCATATCCCCGTACAGAATTCCTACTGGACTCAGAAAGGCAGTCTTTCAGCTCCTTCAGCCCAGTGCTGTGCACCACTCACCTTCACCAAGAAGCAGCTCAGCAGACAGTGCCTGGCAGAGCCATGCTTCACAATGTCAGCCACAGCAAAGGTGTGGTCTACGCAGGTACGATTGCTTTGACCCAGATCCCAGCTAACAGGCAGGCTGGGAGGTGGAGTAGGTCATGTACAAGTCCATTCACAGGCTCTATAGTCCCTGTCCCTTGAATCCTGTCTACATTGGTTCCAAGGACTGACTGGTCACTAGACTTAAGGCCAAAAAGAACACCAGTTAGTTACTTCCAGTTCAGTGTTATTTTTATGGTTTTGTGAAAACAGCATGCTGCATCAGTGTGGCCTCACAGTTCACTCTGGGAGCTGACCAGTCCAGTGCCGTGCAAACAGAGGTCAACCAGAGCACGAGGAGAGCAGGATTAAGGAAGGCTTCCAGAGTAGATTCTTGCCATGTTTCTAGAAGAAGGCATAATAGCAAGAACAGAAGTCTGGATGCTTCTGGAGGATGGCAAGGCACATCTGCCTCATCCACAGTGGCAAGCCAAGGGCTAGTCAACTTAAAAAATTAAGATTTATTATTTATGTGTACATATGTACCTGTACATGTGTATGTGTGAGGGTGCCCACAGAGGCCATAAGAGGGCATCAAACCCCCTAGAGCTCAAGTTAAAGATGGTTATGAGCCATCGAATGCGCTGGGAGCAGAATGCTGCTCTTACAAGCACTGTTAACCACTTAGCAAGCATGTGGGGTTCAGAGGACTTGTAGAAGTCAGTTTTCTCCTTCTATCATATGGATCCTGGGGGCTCAAACTCAGGTTGTCATGCTTGGTGGCATGTGTCTATCTGGTGAGCCATTCTTGCCAGTTCAGGGCCAGCCAACTCTGGACGCTGTGCTGAGTCCTTGACTACATGGTGAGCTCTGCTGCTTTTGGAACGTTCTGCCAGGATGGTCTAGGTGAGGCTGCCGTGGCTTTCTTGACCACTTTGACCTTGTCTTCACAGATACTGCCCTGATGGGGCAGGACAGGGACAGGGAAAGCGTGTGGGTAGAAGTTGGAGGAGCCCTGGCCCCCAATACCTCCTCCCTGTTTCCCCCCGAGCCTCCGGGGGCCTCAAGCAACATCATTCCTGTCTACTGTGCTCTCCTCGCTACTGTGGTCCTTGGTCTGCTGGCCTATGTGGCCTTCAAATGGTAGGTGGTCTGGGTACTGCCCTGTGGCATCCCCTCTACACCTGGACTCCGAGCTCCTTGTCTTAGCACTCTCTGCCCTCCACAGTTGGCGCTCACATAAGCAAAGACAACAGCTGGCCATGGCCAAAGCTCGGACTGTAGAGCTAGGGGACCCTGACAGGGACCAGCGGCATGGTGACAGCAGTGTCTTTGTGGACTCTCCTCATTGTCTGGAGCCCTGTATCCCCAGCCAGGGTGAGCACCTTTCCTCAGTCAGTACTCCTTGGTATTTAACTAGTGCTACCCCACCACCCACTAACGAATCTTCTATCTCCCACCCCAGGACCACATCCTGACCTTGGTTGCCGACTTTACCTGCATATTCCGCAGCAGCAGCAGGAGGAGGTCGAGCGGCTCTTGATGTTGGGTGAACCTGCCAAGGGCTGGCAGGGGCTGGCAGGCCACCTGGGCTACCAAGCTGAGGCCGTGGAACTCATGGCCCGTGGCCAGGCACCAGCCTATGCCCTGCTAAGGGACTGGGCTGCCCAAGAAGGCAGCAGAGCCACCCTCAGAGTGCTAGAGGATGCCCTGGCTGCCATAGGCCGAGAAGATGTGGTCCAGGCTTTGGGCTCAGCAGCTGAGGGCTGCTCTGTGGTGTGAGTGGCAAGCCCCAGTGCTGCCTGCACTGGCAGGCACTCCTTACCATCCTTACTGCCTCAGGTCCCCTTCATGGACTTCCTAGTACTTCTGGCTTCTGAAGTTCTGCAGAACACAGAAGATCCAGCCGCTTCATGTCCCTGCACCCTCCTCTCCAAGACAGGAAGCAGAAGATGGTGAGATGGGTAAGATCTGCCCACAGATCCCCATTCTGCCTCCCTTTATTTAGCTCTAGCTATTTTTTCTATTGTTTTTAAATCACATATTAAAGGCAACTCTGACTTGTATTCTGGTATACTTAGCTCCTTGGGGCTATAAGACAGCTGAGTAGCTGTGAAATAGAAGCCCAGAAAAGTACTTGGGGAGATCCACAGGATATGGGGGACCCTCTCTAAGCAGCAGCCGGGATGGCAGTCGCTTCTGTATATGGGCTGTGGAGGCACAGACTGGAGGTCACCCTTCTGCCCTTCAGTGTTTGGATCATATTAGGAAGCTACGTTTCCTCCTGAACTCCAGTTTCCTTTGCTTAGCTGGAGGCATGTTTAATAAGTCCCCTATCCCTGAGATTCCCATGGTGCATCACAGGACCCTTTGTGTGACCTGTGCTGTGACAGGCAAGAGGCAAGGTAGTTGTAGTGTTGAGGTATTGAGGACCTCAGGTCATCTTTAGACAAAAAAAGGAAGACATTTCAACACCGGGACTCTGGGCTGAGGGTATAGCTCATGGGAGAGCACTTGTCTAGTACACATGAGGTCCTTGATTCAATCTCCAGAGCTACAAAAAGCAAAAGCCAGACTGCCACCCAAGCAAAACATTCCAAACAGGCCTCCACAGCTGCTCATGTGCCTTGAACAGAGTGGGCAAGCAGGCTGTTCTGGATAGGGCAGCTGAGTCAAACCACCTGTACTTCCATACACACGCCCATCCTAAAATGGGAGCAGGTAGCTGGGTTGCTTTGCCTTCTGAAGAGCCGCTCTGCAGATGCCCTTGCCTAAGAAGGACGAGTGCACATGGATTAGATGGCTTTAGGTTCATCCAGACTCTCTGAGAAGACCTGGGGTCCAGTCAGGGTGAAGTGGAGCCCAAAGCGGATCCGACTCCCTCCCTGCACTGAGATGCCTGGTGTTGGTTACTTAGTGAGCATGAGGCTTAACACAGGCTGCTTCTACAGCTGTTCCTCAGAAATGGTTGACCAGATAGATCTGCTTAACAGCCTGTCCTTGTTAAAATGAATGTCAGCCAGGCATGGCAGCTCCCATCTTTAACCCCAGCGCTCAGGAGGCTGAGGTAAGATCATCACAGGCTTAGCCAGGCAGTGGGTGGCGCACACCTTTAATCCCAGCATTCGGGGAGGCAGAGCCAGGCGGATCTCTGTGAGTTCAAGGCCAGCCTGGTCTACAGAGCGAGATCCAGGACAGGCACCAAAACTACACAGAGAAACCCTGTCTCGAAAAACCAACCCCCCCACCCCCCAAATCACAGGTTTGATGCCAGCCTGCCCTATGGTGAGAACATCTCAAAATAAATAAACAAATAAAGGGGGGGAGGGTATGTTACCCTCATCCTAAGAAGACCCTAAAGCTAACCCCCAAGGATGAGGACAAAAACCAAAGAAGGTCCAGATTAGCATTCAGGGAACATCATACTCAACTTCAGCAGAGTCAGCTGTAGGGCCACCAAGAACTGAGTCAACAGTAAGATTTTTCGTGAACAGACTGGCACATTTTAGCCCAGCCTTGGTAATGTGGACATGAGGGAGTATGGGGAAGATGAAGACATTTGGGGTTTAAAAAAAAAAAAATCTCAAAAAATTCTAAACCTTTGCAGCTAGTTACCACTCTAGTTACCTCAATTCCTTTGGAAAACCATGAACACTCATGATAGCAGACACACTAGAAAATGTCGAGGGTTGAGTGAATTATGGTTCACTTACTGTGCTTTAAAGTTCTGACGGCTACAGTATTGTGAGAAAAAGGCTGTAGATCATTAGTTAGTCCTTGATAGCGTGTGTCCACACTCATGCTTTGTATAGCAGTGGCATGCTATTCGGTACTGGAAGCAATCCAGAGACAACTGGTAGGTGCCAATGGGCTATTGGTTAAAACGATGCCATTTCATTTAAGGTACTTGAGTATCTACACATTTGTAGCCAATCCCCAGAGGTAGTGAGGGAAGACTTGCTACATGGCACATATGACCATAAAGTAAGGATTTCTGCCCTCTGCTACAGGACACTTGCTTTGCCAATTTCTGTAAGAGCTGTAAGGATTAAATGAATATTCACTCATCTCTGAAATGCTGAGCACAGGCAGTGGGTGCTCTAACTCCTGGCAGGCCTCAGCCTGGCCTTGTTTTCCTCTTCCTTCAAGAGAGCACTGCAGTGAGAAGAATCACTCTCCCGAGGAACAGGTGGGCCCCCATTTAGTATGAACTTCCGCCCTGTCCAGCAAACTCAGCACCAAGAGAGCACTGCTGAGCCCGCATCCAGAAGGCTCTCACTCTCCCCACAGGGCAGCACCATGCCCTCCTACTGTCTCTGCTGCCTTCCTCCAGTGTCAAGTAAAGTGGAAGCTAGGACCACACATTTCTCCCAAACTGTGGGCTGGGAGAGATGCAGTAGACTCTTCTAAGGTGTGCTGCTTTTGTCTACATCGCATTGGTTTAACTCTGTGAAGCTGTGTACTGTGCCTGTGTAAAACCCAGGATGGTCTAATGAAGAGCTGGCCAATAGCAAGGCAGGAGAAAGGGTAGGCGGGGCTGGCAGACAGAAAGAATATATAAATTTCGGAGGAGGAGCCAGAGGAGGAGGACATCAGGGGCGGGCCACCCAGCTACACAACCAGCAACAGAGTAAGATTTATAGAAGTGAGAGAACGGGAAAAGCCCAGAGGCAAAAGGTAGACGGATAACTGAAGTTAAGGAAAGCTGGCTAGAAACTAAGTCAAGCTAAGCCTGGGCATTCAGAAGAATAAGCCTCCGTGTGTGATTTACTTGGGAGCTGGGTGGTGGACTCCCCCCGCCCCCCCAAAAAAAGAGTGGAAAAACAACAACAGAGAAATGAAGTCTGAAGGCAAAAAGATCCAATAACAAACACTCTCTGGCCAAGAGGTATCAAAGAAAAGACATTTGGCTTTCCTCTTGACTGGCCCACTAACCAAAATCAAACAGCCCAGTGGCAATGAAGTCTCAGGTCATGTTTCCTCTGCTCCAGAATGACTGACTGTAAACTGCCTCAACTGAGCTCAGCCTCAAGATCTGAAGTCTAAAGTTATCAGTCTCATGCAAATGTCTGCCTGACACACAGTGGGACCTGTAGGGGCAAGGCTTGTAATAAAAGGCGGCAGCAATGAGTCATCTTGGACTCCACACACCAGTGGCCACTACATCCTTTTTCTCTCCAGCAACATCAACACAAACAAACTTAGATTAAGTTTTAGGGAACACACATTGCAAGTTCTTTAATTGATTTTATTTTTTACATAAAAAGTTCAGTAAAAATTGGATAAAGTAAAGTGATCTTAAGCAGTAAATCAATCTTATCAACATAGCACAAGGCTGGCCAAAACCACAAGGCAGCCTGCTTTGGAATATTTACATGATAACAAATTAAACCTTGCAGGAGAATTTATACTGTCCTTACAAAGTCTTCCCATGATTCTAGCACATAGAGGCTAACAGCAAACAAAAACTGAACAAAAACCAGGAAAAACAAACAAATTCTTTTCAATATATTCACATATACATTAAAATATAATACAGATCATCAGGGTAAGGGTCTTGGGGGAGGGTGCGCATGGGTCTGTGCGCTGACAGCACCGCCAAGGGGGAGACCCAGATTTGAGAACGGGGTCGGGTGTGGCCACGGTCTTCCCTAGGCTACTGCCTCCGATGGCCGTAACTGTTACATCCCAGCAGCTCACAACTAGGGGTCACTTGTAGACAGAGCTCATTTTTGTGGCTTACAGTTGACACCTTCAAGGTTTGAACTGCTCAGGATGATGGGTCATCACACCAGTAGTGCAGGCCTGGCCATGGGGTAGGGCAGAAGCCACAGGATTCATCCTTTGATCACACTTCTCACTCTGGCCCTGCGAGTCACTCTAATTCAGTGTCCTCCTTAGGTTTGTAAACAGCCCCAAACTTCTGCATGTACTTCTTAATGTACTCCTTGGTTTTGTGTTTCACATTCTCATTGCACTCCAGGTCCTCGGGGTTCTTACAGTACTTCAGCTCCTTATTCATAACTCCATGAGTCAGCTGTCCGAGGCACAGGAAGAGAGAGAGACCACAGATACCATCAGAATAGAAAATGATTGACAGGGAGGACAGGCTTCGAAGGAAATCAAAGGGGGGAGGGGTTGGGGCAAGCTGCTACAGGGACAGAGGAGAAACTCAGCTTTCAAAGTCTCTTAGGTGCCTACTCTCCCACCTCTGAACCTTGCCTCACAGTCCTGGGCCCCAAGCCTTGGCATCTGGCACGTAAAACCACACTTTTTGACGAAGGAGAGGATCTTAGAACGCATATGACAGACGGGGAGCAGGGGAATACCTTTCGAGCAAGGTGTTTGAAATCCTCAGTCGTAGTGATTCTGCCCACCTTGCAGTCAGGTTTCCGGTAAGGATTCAGGCACTGGACAATGAACTGAGACATCTGCAGACAGAAGGTAGGAGACATGCTGCTCAACTGTGCTGATGGGATCATTAGAAAAGGCAGCAGAAAGCTTCCCCGCCAGTCCCCGTTTCCTCCCTCAGGTGCTCATCTAGCCAGCAGAATGCTAGGAAGCCAGCGAGATGCAAAAAAGTGGTCCTGGCCCACCCTGATAAGAGCCTCCTTAGCCAGACCAACCAACCAAACCTCACTTCGAGAGGCTGCAGGCACCAGCAACAGCATTCTGGGAGTAGCCTCTGGTTTCACACTAAAACTCAAACGTTGCCAAGGTCATTGTGTTAAGTTTGGAGTCTACAGGAGGTAATTAGGCTGCGAGGGCCTCTCCACCACAAACAGAGCTGCTTGTGTCTGGGCCACAGCTCAGTTGGTAGAGTGCCTGTCGAGCACTGTGGACTCCTATGAAGAGTTAGTGGCTAGGTTCTCTGGATCCCAGAGGCAAGACAGGGTAGAGTAACAGAGTACTCCTCAAAGCATGCAAAGCTACTAGATGGCTTTGCAACCCCAGGATTGCAGGTAGGCATTTTGCCTGTAAAGGTTACTTCAAGCCTGTAAGTACTACATGTTTATTCATGAACCACAACCACCAAAAGCATATGGAAACATGGATGAAGGATGAT